TCCAGGATGAGATGCCACATCACCCCTGCACACCTGTGGTCCCTAAGCTAGCATGCTTAGGGGTCCTCTTTGACTCCTCACCCCCATGTCCTAGTCTGTCCCCTCTCCATTCCACCCCTTAGACATCTTTCAAGGTCATCCCTTCTTTCCAGCAGATGCCTCTGCTCTGATTCAGGCCACCACCGCCTCCCAGGCTCTAGTTTCACCCACCCTCTCAGACCCACCCTCCACACTGCTGCCAGAATGGTCTTTCCAGAGATCTTCCTAAAGTGCAAATCCCAGCCGTGTTTAAACCTCATAATCAAAACAGAAACAAAGACACCTTAACCATAGGATGAAACCCTAAACCCTTAGCTAGACCCATAAAGCCCTGCATGGTCTGGCCCCCGCCACCTCTCTGGCGGTGTTGTGTCCTTCTCCCCGCATTCACTAAGCTCAGCTCCCTTCAGCTCCTCCAAAGCACCAAGTTCTTCCTAGGCTCAGGGTCTCAGCAGGTGCAGCTCCTCTATCCAGCTTTTCATCCTTTAGATCCCAGCTGAAAGGTCACATTCTCACAGAGGCATTCCCTGACCCCTCCCAGGTAAATTAAGATCCCTCCTTAGTTTATCTTTTGCTTGGAATTTGCTGTTCTTCTTCCCCCATACCTCTTGCCAACACATCTCAGAGCTTATGTTTTCATGTGCTTAGTTATTTAATGTCTGTCTCTCCTATAGCCCAAATTCTCCATGCAAATAGGACTGCAGCCTCTCCTGTTCACACTGTACCTCCACACCAGCCCAGGACCGGACATAAAAGTAGACACTTGATAAGTATTTGTGGAACAAATGAATCTTTCATCTCGTCCTCATCAGAACCCCATTCCCAGGCTTGCTTTCATCTCTGGCCTTTGTAAGAGTTGCTTCCTCTGCCTGGAAGGTTCTTTCCATTCCCTCCCACCTGGGCAGATCCACACGTCATTTAAGATTAATCTCTCTGCAACCTGCCCATCGCCCCCTCATTTGAATTAGGGTTTCCCTCCAGGCCCCCTTGGTACCCTATACATAGCACTCTATCCTAACACTTTAAAATTGCAAATTGCCAGCTAAACATGAGAGGTTATCAACAATAATGATCTACTCTCGCTCTCCCCCAGACCTCTCCACTGTAGCTGGCTCAAGGGCATCACTCTCTCTGCTTTTCAAACCATTAGGAACCCCATTTCCCATTCATTCACGAGGCACTGCTCAGGTGCCCACTGTGTTGTGTTGTTTTCCTTCCGGCAGCACTGGGGAAGCATGGAGGAAGGAAGCAATATAGACAGGATTCTTCCAAGGGTGAGAGGGAAGCAGGTGAAAACAACAGGGGTGCTCAGCAAACGCCCAGCCACCCCCTTCCAGGGTGCAAATGGGCACAGGGAAGGCTGGAGGCAGAGGGGTCTACCTAAAGCGCTCAGTTCTGCCCCCATCACTGAGCATCTGCTATGTGCAGGGTATGGCTGGGGAGGGGTGGGGAATACGGAGAGGTGTGCCTCAATGGCAGACACATCACCTCTAGCACGGCTGTGAGTGTGCTTGGTGCAGAGTTTACGTGTCTTGGATCTGTCTTCCCAGCCTGGGAGTGCTGGAGGGCCCAAGGTTGGGAACAGTTGTTGTCAAACCTCAGCCAAACCTAGTGGTCACTTTTCTGCCTCTCCCTTGCCAGGTGTCTCCGCTGTGGTTCATTACCCCCTTCCTGACACTCCCCACACCAGGTCTAGAGGCCACCTTCATCAGCATCACTTGGGTGGGGACAGGAGCTTATGTAATATGTAGTCCTGGGTTCCTGTCTACCAACTAAGGCTCCCTGGGGATGGGACCCCAGAATCTGCATGGTGCATACTCCACACCGTGTCCACTCTGCTTGGCACTTTGGGCGTGAAAACCCCACTTCTCCTGTGGCTTCAGGATCAGCCCCAGCTGTCCTCCTAGCCCCTGGCTCCCTGTTCCTCCCTGGAAGCCTTTGGGGGTTCTTTTCCTCTGACCACGTTACCTTAAATGCCAGGGTGCCCAGTGCTCCTCTGGCACCCTCCATACCTCCAGCACCCCAGGCTAGACTTTCTCCTGCCCCTGGGTGGCTGACAGCACACAGACTTGACGTGGTCAAAGATGACCCTCCCACCCTCACCACAGACCCCATCCCTCTCCTCCCACCTATGGTACCCACCTCGTCAACTATCCAGCCTGTTGCTCAAGCCAGGGAACTGGGTATCACACCTGCCTTCCTCTCTGCCTTCCTGCCTCACCTCAGTAACAACCAAATCCCGATCATTTTGCCTCCTAAAGCTGCCTTCAGCCTGCCTGCCCCCTGCCCCCAAACCACTGCATTTGTCTCCTAATGATTTCCTCTCCTCTCCCTCCCTCTAGTCCAGGGGATTCTCCAAAAGCTTTTAAAATGCAAATCTAACTATAATCACAGCCCCATTAAAATCCTTCAGACATTCCTTGTAAACAAAGATCCCAACCCCTTGACCCTCCATCATCTGGCCCCAGCCTCCCCTCCTCCCACTCTGTGCTCCGGGAACAGCAAACTGCTTCCAGTTCCAGCCTCCAGACCTTTAGTCATTCGGTGCCCTCTGCCAGGAATAGCCCTTGCCAGGCGGGCTCTTTCCTCACAACTGCAGTATCACCTCCTCCAGGAAGCCATCTCTGACCCTCCCGCCCCTGCCCCCAGCTTCCTCGGTGCATCCATAATGTCTTCCTTGTTCAAGGATCTGTTATTCCACTCACCACACTGAGTTATAATGATCGATTTTCATGTCTCTGTTCCATACTTGCCGATGAGATCCTTGAGGGCAGGGACGGTGTCCCATTCATCTCTATCTCAACCCCTGGCCTGGCGCCTGGCACGGCGGACAGGCTCGGCCAGTGGGTGATGGATAAATGCGGAGGGGAAACTTGAACAAAGTGAGAGCCAGAAATGACCAAGAGGGGAGTAAGGGCAAGCCTGGCAGGAGGAGCAGCCAGAGCAAATGTGTGGGAAGTGGAGGAGCGAGAACTTCCGTTTATTGCACTCCTACGACTGCCCGCCAGCCATTGTGCCTGCGCTTTGTTTGCACATTTTGTCTCATTTGGTTCTTGCAAGAACAGATCAGGAAACGGACATCAGAGAACCAAAGTAACCTGCCCAAGGTCACACAGCCAGGTCTGGAACAGAATCTGGGACTGTCTGGCCTGAAAACCTGTGCTCTTTCTGCTGGGCCACACAGCTCTCCTAGGGACAGGACCTTCTGGAAACCAGACAAGGAGTGGGCCCAGCTACGCCCCTGCCTAGCTGAGCGCCGGAACCAGCTGCCCACACTCAGGCCAACAGCTTCTCCCTCCCAGCCGGACCAGAGGCTTAGAGGCCAAAGATTTGCCTGTTCCTTCCTCCCCCGGCTATGGAGGGTCTTTGACTAGACATGCACGCCTCCACCCCCCCACCCCGCCACCAGGAAAGAGCTGTTGCATCTTGGTACGGCCCAGGGTGCCTGGAAATGCAGGGGGTTCTGTGATGCTGTCTGGGTTTTGCAGAATCTGTCTCCCTCATCGCACTTGGCCCAGGCTGATATTAAGATTCATCTGCATTCCCCGCGCACCCGCCTGGCAGATGGTGGGGGAGGAGGCTGGGTGCGTGCCGGGGTTGCAGCCACGGGACCAAGCTGGGCCTTGGAGGGCCACAGAGCAGAGTGCCCACCCACTGTGCCCCTTGTGCCCAGCCCAAGCTGGGACCACTTCAAATGATGGGGTGCCTCCTCACCTTCATAGCCTCCAAGGGGAGCCAGGACTTGACCTTTCATTTTTCTAAAGACTAAAGGGACCCTGGAATTCCAGGAGGGAGACCTGAAGATATGGAGTGGGGGTGATGCAGGATGGGCCCCAACTTTGGGAATCTCAGATCAGGGTTGTGTTCTTCCTCCTTGCCCTGGAGGTTTGCAGAGACCCCGCTGGGATAGGAGCCGCTGTCGGCCTGGTGACCCCTGTGGCTTAGAAAGGGCAAGTAGTGAATAATGAAGGGACAGCCTCCAGGAAGGCCTTGCTCCCCTCACTCTCCAGCTTCTCAGGACCTGCCCGCGGCCCCAGAATCTAGCCCGGCTCCTATCAGCCTTTTCAGCTCGGGGACCCAGCCAAATACTTCCTGTCACAGTGGCTGGACCCAGGAGGTCCAGGGATTATCTCAGCCCCTCCAAGTAAAGTAGAAGAGGGAAGGAGCAGACATCATAACAAAAGGAGTGCAGGCTAGACACCCAGAAGGACTTCCCTCAGCGCAGGTTTTGGCTCTTAGAACAGGTTTTGAAAAAAAAGGATCTTTCTTAATTCTAGGATTCCTGAGTTGGGGGCAGGGCAGCAGATTCTTGCTGTCCGCTCCCGGGGAACAGGCGCCCTGCCAGAGGGGTGGAAACGGTAGGGTCCCTATCCCCTGGCCACCACCCTCTCCCTTCCTCTCCAAGAGCTACTCTGCCCCCGCGTGCCGTCCCCTCCGCGCTGGAGAGCCCGCGTCCTAGGTCCCCGGGCTGCGGGCCGGCAGGGGAGGAGTTAACTCCGGAGGTACCGGCTGGGCTCACTGTACCTGCCGCCGCCGCCGCCGCCGGTGGGAGGGACGAGGAAGCGGGAGCCGCCTGGGCGCCAGGAGCGCTCTAGTCTGGCGGGGCGCAGCGCGGGGAGCGGGTAGCCGGGGCTCCGCGCGGCCGGGGGCGTCCGCCAGGGGGCGCGCCGCGACGGGGCGGGTGGAGCAGCCTGGTCGGGGGAATTAGCGTCAAGGACGGGCGCGCGCGCAGGTCCCTAGCACATCTGGGCGAGAGCGGCGCCGCTGGAGCCGAGCGGGGCGCCGAGCGCAGATCTGGAGCAGCAGAGCCACGGCGCAGCTGGAGCCCTTCGAGGCGCTCGGGGCGCACATCTGGGACCTCGAGCGGGGGCCGCGCCGCGCGCAGCTGGACCAGGGGAAGGGGGCGGCGGCTGCACAGCTGGACCGAAGGGGGCGGGGTCGGCCCTGGGCGACCGGCTGAGGGGAGGGCCGCGGGCCGCCGGGGACTGGAGCATGGGACGGCGCGCCTGAAGGAGCAGGAAGGGGACGAAGAGGCCTGGGACCCCGTAAAGAGAAGAGGAGAACGAGGGGACGAGAGCGGAGGAGGAAGATGCAACTGACTCGCTGCTGCTTCGTGTTCCTGGTGCAGGGTAGCCTCTATCTGGTGAGTGGTCCGCGGGGAGCTGCGCAGAGGGGCGGGGGCCCGGAGGATCAGGGGAGAGCGCGGGAAGCTTGCGAGCCCTGAAACTTTCTCCCTTCCCCCGACATCCCGGGGATGGCGGGGAAGACTGGAGGCTGGGGGAGAGGGCGGGTCCGAGGCCGGAGACTGGACAGATAGGGTTAATAGGGGCGGGAAGAGGGTGCTTGGCTGGCCCACCCACTCCGCGGCGGGTGGCTGGAGGTGCGACTGGCGCTCGGAAAAAGGCCCGGAGCGGGGTCGCCGGGGTTACCCGACCCCTTCCCGGAGCCTCAGGACCGCGGAAGTGGGGGCGATGGGGCGCGGGTCGTGACCTGCAGGCTTTTCCCCTGACCTCCGGTACTCCGAGAGCCCCGGGTTCTGGGTCCCCCAGAGCGCGGAGCCGGTCCAGGCGGGGGGCGGCCCCCGCGTCCCTCCCTCCCGCCTTCCCTCCCGCTCCCTCCCTCCCCGCCTGTTGTTTTCCTCTCCTCTCCTGGCTGCGCGCAGCCGGAGCCCCACAGGACCTGGGCAGGCGGCTCCCGCCCCGGGCGCTCGCAGCAGCTGAGCTGAGCGCCCAGAGCCCGCTCCCCGTGCGCCGGCTCCGCGGCTTCTCGGCGACCCACGGCGCCGGGGAACCCCTCCCCGAACCCAGCCCAGGGGCTTAACTCCCCTCCGACCGAGCGCCCGCCAACCCTCCCCGCAATACTGTCGTGGAGAAGCCTCAGCCCCGCATCTGGACCTGACCCTTTAATCAACAAGCCCCTTGCCACCGCCCCATGCCACGGTGGGAAGAGCCCTTCCCTTCTCACGGCCCCAGCTTTACCCTCCAGCCACTCAGCCGTGATCCCCAGGAACAAGTACCTACAGGTCTGCAGCCCTGGACCGAGTCCCCGAGCCTCCCCTCCTAGCCGTCCCTCTACCCCACCTCTGGGGCCTGGCAGTCAGGGCCAGCCTGAACTGTGGGGCAGAGACAGACTCGGCCACAGCACACAGCTGCCGGCACCACCCAGACCAGAACACAGGCATGAGGAGCCCACAGCCCCTTGGAGCCCTACTGTCCCCACCCCAGTGTCACCGCCAAATCCAGATGCCCCTGGTGCTGGTAGTAAAGACACCTAGGGAGAGTGGTTGCTTTCAAATGCTGAGCAAACACTCAGCCAGGCTGCGCCCTCAGGAAGCCCTGTCAACCCCCTGATGCCCTCCACTGCTGTCCCACTCTCCCTGTGGCGCCTCCAGGAATCTCCCCAGGTGTGGGTTGTCACCATAGCTGATCCAGCAGAGGGAGGATGAGCCCCTGCAGATTCCAGAGGCGGATGGCGCCTGGGTAAAAACCCTTTCAAAAAGACACATCTGATCTGTGAGGCCAGGAGTGTGCAGTGTAACGGAAGGGCTGACCCTATGTGAACTCAGCCTTGTAGTGTTAAACTCTGAGCCCCAGTGTCCTTATCTGTGAAATGGGGATAAGAACTCCTACCTCAGAATCCAAGTAACATCTTGGCATGTCATCCTCAGTGTCCCCTGGAGAGGTGTTTGGCTTTCCATTCCCATGGCCATCCTGAGTGTGGCATTCACTCGGGTCTCCCCTAGTCCTCTTGCCAAACCTAAACTATATTCGTGCTTGAGAATTATACTGTGTTCTGCTTTCTTATTCCATTGTCTGGTGGTTCTCTTTGCATCCAAGGGTAGAAATTATCCTAGGGTAGGAACAGTGTCTTACCCAACAGACTAGGAAGTCCCAAAAGGCAGGGGCTAGCCTCTCCTGTCAAACCAGGGGCTCTCCCAGGATAAGGATGGTGCTCCCCTATCTGACTCAGGGCTCTTTGAGAGCGGAGACTATGCCTCCCCCATCAGCCTGGGGATTTCACAGAGGCAGAGATCCTACCTCCTATCAAACTGGGGGCTCTGTCAGCACAGGGATGATACTTCTGCAATTAGATGGGGGGTCCCCAAGATCAGAAGCTGGGCTTCCCCCATCAGACTGGGGACTCCCTAGGGGTAGGAGCCATTGTCCCTGGTGCCACAGTCCACTGGAGAGAATTACTGTCAGTCTTTGAGACTTTGAATAGTGGCCAAGACAGGACAGTGAGGAAAGGACATGGGGGGCAGGCTGACCCAACTGTCAGAACCTGAGATGTACACAAGCTAGAGTGTACACTTGCCCCCCAGCTTCAGTGGACAACATGCAGGAGCTCTTCACCCAGGTCAGAGTGAAGTGGCAGGGACAGGGGTGCTGCTGGTGGTGGGGGTGGTGGACCTCCAGGGACAGGGCTCTTACTGTACTCACAACTCCCTCCATAGGTCATCTGTGGCCAGGATGATGGTCCTCCCGGCTCAGAGGACCCTGAGCGTGATGACCACAAGGGCCAGCCCCGGCCCCGGGTGCCTCGGAAGCGGGGCCACATCTCACCTAAGTCCCGCCCCATGGCCAATGCCACTGTCCTAGGGCTGCTGGCCCCACCTGGGGAGGCTTGGGGCATTCTTGGGCAGCCCCCCAACCGCCCGAACCACAGTCCCCCACCCTCAGCCAAGGTGAAGAAAATCTTTGGCTGGGGCGACTTCTACTCCAACATCAAGACGGTGGCCCTGAACCTGCTAGTCACAGGGAAGATTGTGGACCATGGCAACGGGACCTTCAGCGTCCACTTCCGACACAATGCCACAGGCCAGGGCAACATCTCCATCAGCCTCGTGCCCCCCAGTAAAGCTGTAGAGTTCCACCAGGAACAGCAGATCTTCATTGAAGCCAAGGCCTCCAAAATCTTCAACTGCCGGATGGAGTGGGAGAAGGTAGAACGGGGCCGCCGGACCTCGCTTTGCACCCACGACCCAGCCAAGATCTGCTCCCGAGATCACGCTCAGAGCTCAGCCACCTGGAGCTGCTCCCAGCCCTTCAAAGTCGTCTGTGTCTACATCGCCTTCTACAGCACGGACTATCGGCTGGTCCAGAAGGTGTGCCCAGATTACAACTACCATAGTGATACCCCCTACTACCCGTCTGGGTGACCGGGGGCAGGCCACAGAGGCCAGGCCAGGGCTGGAAGGACAGGCCTGCCCATGCAGGAGACCATCCGGACACCGGGCAGGGAAGGGCTTGGGCCTCAGGCAGGGAGGGGGGTGGAGAGGAAGAGATGCCAAGTGGGGCCAGGGCCAAGTCTCAAGTGGCAGAGAAAGGGTCCCAAGTGCTGGCCCCAACCCGAAGCTGTGGTGTGACTAGATCACAGGAGCACTGGAGGAGGAGCGGGCTCTCTGTGCAGCCTCACAGGGGTTTGCCACGGAGCCACAGAGATGCTGGATCCCCGAGGCCTGTGGGCAGGCCGATCAGTGTGGTCCCAGAGTCATGGGAGGAACCTAAGCCCTTGGTTCTTGCCATCCTGAGGAAGGACAGCGACAGGGATGGGGAGATTTCATCAGTGTGGACAGCCTGTCAACTTAGGATGGATGGCTGAGACAGGGCTTCCTAGCAGCCAGTCAGGAGGGTGGGGTGGGGCCAGAGGAGCTCTCCAGCCCTGCCTAGTGGGCAGCCCTGAGCCCCTTGTCCTGTGCTGAGCATGGCATGAGGCTGAAGTGGTGACCCTGGGGTCTTTGATGTCTTGACAGATTGACCTTCTGTCTCCAGCCAGGCCACCCCTTTCCAAAATTCCCTCTTCTGCCAGCGCTTCCCCTCTACCACCCATTGCTGATGGCACACCCATCCTTAAGCTAAGACAGGACGACGGTGGTTCTCCCAGCACTAAGGCCACAGCCCATCCATGTGCTGTGTGTCCCTCTTCCACCCCACCCTCTGCTAGCTCCTCTGGGAGCATCCATGTCCTGGAGAGGGGTCCCTCAACAGTCAGCCTCACCTGTCAGACTGGGGTTCTCCCGGATCTGGATGGCGCTGCCCTCTCAGCAGCGGGCATGGGTGGGGCGGGGCCAGGCCGCAGAGCATGTGCTGGATCTGTTCTGTGTGTCTATCTGTGGGTGGGGGGAGGGGAGGGAAGTCTTGTGAAACCACTGATTGCTGACTTTTGTGTGCAGAACCATGTTCTTGGAGCAGGAAATAAAGCTTGCCCCTGGGCACTGGAGTCAGAATTGTCCAAGGAAAGGGCCTCAGGCATCCCTTGGTCCAGCAAGAATTTCTCTGATGGCCACAGGACATTTGCTGGAGACCCAAGTGGCAGGGCTCCAACCGCCCTTGGAGCTGATGCTTGCTGAGGGCTCAGGGCTTCCCTCTCCAGCCCCCGTTCCAAGCTGTCTGATCCCACACGAGGAAACCTGAGTAAACCCGCTGGGCTTGGTGCTAGAGGAGGGCGTAGCATCTTCAAGAACAGCTCGAGGAGGGAGAGCTAGCAGGTAGAATGGGCCAATGAGGGTGTTCCTTGGTGTCCTCCCTGAACTGCCATCTGCAGACCCAGCAGGGTCCTAGCCCCGTCATTTTGCTGCGTGGCCTTGGCCATGTCCATTCTCCTCTCTGACTTTCTTTGTTTCTTCCTCTATAACATGAAGGGCTTGCCCAGACCAGGGGTTCTCAAACGCAGATCACCCGGAGGGTTTGCTGACACACAGATTTCTGGGTCCTACCCACGTTTCTAATTCAGCAGGCTTGGGTGGGGCCTAAGAATCAGAATTTCTAATGAGTGCCCAGGTCTGTGCTGATGCTGCTGCTCCAGGGCCCACGCTGGGAGACCCACTCAAAGGACCTTGAAGTTCATCTCTGGCTATGGCTCCGCAGGATGGGGAGATACCTCGGAGGCGCTCTCCCAGCTGTAATTTCCATCTGCTTCTCCTAGGGAGGGGGCCTTTCAGAGATCCCGGGGTATTGTATTGGGTTTGCAGTCTGACCACATGCCAGTGAAGGAACAGGCTGGAGTGGGTGCGGACACAGGGCCTGCATCAGTCGCTCCCCTCCCGCAGCTAGTAAGAGGCCTCAGAATGGCCGGCTGCCAGTGGCACCTCGTCTGGGAGTTACTTGGGCCCTTTGGGGCTCTGTGAAGGAAAGACACTACCAAGGTCACAGTGCCTTGTGGAGGTCATTCTAAGTCAGTTCTCTTGGGAGGGCAGCACTCAGGGCCCTTGGGGCCCTCTTGAGGAGAGGAGAGTCCTGGTAGCAAAGTAAGATGGTCTTGCCAGCCCCCACCTTTCACCCCTGCCCACCAGCGCTCAGCGCAAACCGGTCCCCTCATACTGCAGCACAGAGCTAGGCGGGGCTGAGAAGCCATCTAGTTACAGCCCACCTTGTAAGAAGTGACCCAGCGTGTTTCCCCCACACCATACTTTCAGGGGCCGTCTCTCCTGAGCAGAGACAGACGTGAGAGACACACCCCGCCTCCAGACCACCCTCCGCTCCCGACCCTGGAGGCTTGAGGCTGCTGGCACTGGAGCAGCCCACCCATGGATGCCCACTGGATGCCATTCAGCCTCCCACAGCGCCGTGGAGACTGCAGGAAGGAGGGAACAATGGGGCCAGAGGCCCTGGGTGCCCTCCCTGCCTGCCCTGGCTGAACTCTCAGCAGGCACCTGGGGGCACTTTGACCCCCCTCCTGCTCCTCTCCTCCTGTGGAGAGCCAGATGCTGCCGACAGCTGGAGGGCCTGGCCTGCCTGGCACACAGTTCTGCCTGCACCAGGGATGGATTCATTTTAATAACTTCATTTCACCCTCATGCACACTCTGCCGCCTCAGCTCTCCTTTCCGCCTTCCCCAGTAACCTGGCTGCTCTCCTCAGCTAGGACTTTGCTAACAGATTTCCTCCCAAACCTTAATTCTTTGGAATAGCCCTCTGGTCCCTACTGCTCTTGCCAGATACTTCTGTGCCCCCTTGGTCCTCATAAGGGCAAGGGGTCCATCCAGCTTCCTCTGGCAAAGAAGACGTCACCTCTGCCTCGTGGGCGAGCAGTGTCCCCATGGTGACGCCCCCCACCCCCCACCGTCACGATGAAGTGCTCTGGCCTCCCACTCTTGCCATGCACACACTCACAGGAAAGTCCTCTGAAGAAACCTGTCCCCCACTCTGCCCAGACCCCAAACGGCCAGGTCCTACTCACACTCCAACCCTTTGGTCTCCCCCATCCACTGCCCTTCAAGGCAGTCTGAAACGCCCTCAGACCATTTAGTTGTCCCGAGGTCTTCCACTCGAACCCCTCAGCCCAGCTGGGGGCTGCCAGGGGCCTTGTCTCCTCCCTCAGTGGAGCATCTGGGACAAGTTTACCAGGCTGGGGGCTCTGTAAGGACACAGCTTGGATCTCCTCATCAGGCTGGGGAACACCTGGGGCCAGGGGCCGTGCCTCCCTCATCAGACTGCGGACTCCCTGATGTCAGGGGCTGGATGGCCCTTTAGACTGGGGATCCCTGAGGGCAGACGCTGTGCCCCCGCCTCCCCCACCGCCCCCCCCCCCATCAGACTGGAGTCTCCCTGAGGGCAAGAATTGTGCTCTGGATGGGAGGGGGACAGCTTGCCTTTTCCTAGGCATCAGAGCACCTGGAGGCTGCCTCTGCCCTTCAGCTTTGCTCAAAGGCGCTGTCTGGGTCTCAGCATTCCTTCCTCAAGTAGGGTGAATCTCCTAGCACTCTGAGAAGCTAATGAGGGGGAGTACCCATTAGGTCAACTGGTAGCAACGCCCGAGTCTCCTTCTCGATGAAGCTTAAGGCAAAAGCAAATGAGTATCTAGGTCCCTTCCCCCTCCTGCCCCCCTTCCCTTTCCTGGGATGAGCAAGCGGGAACTGAGTCACCCCGTTCCCCATCCTTGGCAGGAATGCTGGTGACCTTGCATTGTGGCAGATTCAGGTGGCGAGGCCCATTGCTCAGAGATGCACCTGGTGGGTGGGTGGCAGGGATGCTGGGGGTGTGTTTATGGGGATGGAGGTGGCTGAAGGGTAGGTAGGGGTGACCAGGTGCTGGGATTATCGAGTGAGTATGTGCAGGGGAACTGTAGAGACACAATGAAACAGTTGTTCTGTGTTGGGAAATGATCCAGTGTCATGGCTGGGAGTGGGAGAGAGAAATGTTACTTCCGAAGACTCCAAGTCCTGTGGTACTGCCAGGAGAACCGGGGGCTGGGGTGACGGGTGAGGAGAGGCACCATTAGCCCTGCCAGGCAGAGGCAAGATGGGGTGGGGGCGGCACCTGCCAATTATGCCAAAGTCTTGGAGTGGCAGCTGGCACCATCACCAAGGCACAAATGCCAGCAGAGACCTGGCACTCACCTGGGTTGTGATTCCATAGGGCCCCTGTCTCCTGTTGGTCTCCTAGGCTCAAAGGCTGACCTGATAATTCAAGTGAAGGATGCCTAGTTTGAGGCCTTCCAGTTCCTGTCCCAGGCCACCTGGTCAGGTGGTCCCAAGGGACAAGCTAGGTCCTCCTGAACCGCAGAGGCTGCCAATAAACTGTCAACACAGGTGTTGCAGGAATATATAGCTGGCTCCTCATTCTGGGTCTGTAATTTATTAGACATGTGGCTTTGGACTAATGACATAATCTCCCAGAGCCTCCTTAGATGAAAAACTAGGGCTTTGCCTACCTTGGCGTATTGTTAGGAAAATTAAATCAGTTGCTCAATAAATGTTACTTCCTCCTGTCTTTGTTTTCTAAGATGGGTTGATGTTAACCTTGGCCTTGCTTCTGGTGTGGAAAGGGGAACGGGTCCCAGGCTAGAGGTAGGAGACCTAGGTTCCTACCCTGGTTCTGCCCCATCATGCATGTGGCAGAGATTTCTAATTGTCCCATAATACCCATTTTCGCTTTCTCCATAGTAATGGGATTCTCTGTTTTTAGCTGGGCATGTGGCTGCCTGAAATAACTACTGCATTTCTCAGCCTCCCTAGATGTAGTCATGTGACTAAGATCTGGCCAGTGACATTTAAGCCAAAGGTTTAGGTGGCACCTTCCAGAAATCATCAGACAGCTGATGTGCACTCTCTGTCCCTTTGTTCCACCCTCTGTCCTGCAGCCTGGAATAGGTACGAGGCTGCTGCCATCTTAGACCAGGGGGTAAGAGCCACACCCTAGAGGTGGCAGAGCAGTGAGTTGGAAGAAGTCTTGGTCCCTGGGAATGTTCTGGAATAGAAATATCATACCAAGGCCAGGCATGGTGACTCATGCCTGTGATCCTAGCACTTTTGGGAGGCTGAGGCAGGTGAATCACCTGAGGTCAGGAGTTTGAGATCAGCCTGGCCAACATGGCGAAACCTTGTCTCTACTAGAAGTACAAAAATTAGCCAGGTGTGGTGGCGGGTGCCTGTAATCCCAGCTACTCGGGATGCTGAGGCAGGAGAAGCGCTCAAACTGAACGGGAGTTGGGGGGTGGGGGGATGGGGAAGTGGGGGGCGGGGGACCGGGGGCCGGGGAGGGGTTGCAGTGAGCCAAGATTGCGCCACTGCACTCCAGTTTGGGTGGAAGAGCGAGACTCTGTCTCAATAAAAAAAGAAGAAAAGAAAAGAAAAGGAAGGGAGGGAGGGAGGGAGGGAGGGAGGGAGGAAGGCAGGCAGGCAGGCAGGCCAGCCATACCAGCCCTAGGCTGCCGGCCTTCAGACTTTTATGTAAGAGAAAAATCAAAGTTCTATCTTATTTAAGTCACTGTGCTTTGGGTTTCCCTTTCTTGCTGTTAATTCTAGCTCCTCCTAAGTCAGTGGATGCATTTGGGCACTTCACTTACATGGCCTCGGCTTTCTCATCTGTGGAACTGAGATAATGCTTACATATCTTGGCACGGACCAGAGAGGTTTTATAGACTCACAGGCAAGAATAAACATGGAAGGCGCGGGTCCTCCTCCCTGTCTTAAGGCACACAGCCTCCATTTTAAGGGGAGTAACAAACAAGTTGCTGCTGCATTGTGGAGAGCCCTGGAAGGGCTCAGGAGAATTCTCTAGCCCTGAAAGGCCTCAGTCCCCAAATTCATCCCCAACACCTCTGAGTCCCATCTACATTCTGCTGTTGGTGACACACAATCCTCGTTAAGGGCCTGACTGATCCCAGCCAGATG